ACGAAGTCATTTAGAATGTTTTTAGAGCATAAACAGTAGTGTATAGGATTTCCTAATAGCGCCCCCATGCGCGCTCACGATTCTACGGAAGCCGGCAGACCAAACCGGAAGAAAGTGCGCATGCAGCGTCTGCTCTGCCGATAATGCAAGCGTAGAAGAAGAAATGTGCTGTTTACCTGTGCAAAGAAAGAAACAACGAAAGAAAAATGTCTGAGGACTTCAGTGTTGAGGAAGAGCATGAGTTCTTTGCCGAGCTGAATGCGCTGGTTTGGTCTGCCGGCTTCCGTAGAATCGTGAGCGCGCATGGGGGCGCTATTAGGAAATCCTATACACTACTGTTTAGGCTCTAAAAACATTCTAAATGACTTCGTTTGGAGTAAATTCTGGATGCTACCCACTCAGGACACTTGGATTACATTGGACGAGCAGTATGGAGGAATATTGACAAGTTTTTGTGGACTTTTGTGGACCTTTCTGTCTCGGGCGCCATAGACCTCCATTATTTGAATGTCAGCAGACAGCAAGAAGCCTCCCAGATCTCCAGATGCATTTGAGATATCAAAAAAGTACTCCAGAGTTTTGTTCAGCATGGGGGTGAGTAGAAAATGAAGGCTAATCATGTTTTGGGTGTACTATTCCTTTAACGGGTTGAACTCCCACTCAGCTGGATTCCCTGAAAGAGGAAGAGTTCACAGGAAAAAAACAATGTTTCTCAGTTTGAGATTGAAATTCGAAAAATGTGAGTTGAAAAAAAAGACTTAACAGAATTACCTAATAAATTATTGGGTGTGTGTTACAAAAAAGTCTTATTAGCAAGTAGAAATTAGCCCCCTGACAGTAAACAAAGGCAATAGTTTTAGGATAAATAGAGAAAAGGCTATAATTGGACTAATCACTGTGGAGGACCAGATCTGCTCCAATTGCCAATGTGTAGAGAAATAATAGCTTTAGTCTTACTAAAATAATAATAATTTAAAATTATTTTATTTGCCATTGTGTATTAACTTTTTTTCTCTTAGTTTTTCTTAAATTGCGTGTCTGTGCATCGCATTTTCATTCATTTTTATCTATATTATTATTTTTCAAAAAAATTAAAAGCAATCCACTGGACTTGGTTTCCGAGTTTGAAGATGTTTGGCTTCCCATCCACGAAGCTGGATTGCTTTTAATTTCCATATGTTCTAGTTTAAGCAAGACATCTATGGGATTATTAATTAATATTTATTGTACAAAGATTCTCTTAAAAGGTTTATGGCAGAATATTTTAAGTTGACTGTTTTTTGTGTGATTATACTTTCATTTCAAAGCTTCATTCCTCCATAAATTAGTGACTCTAAACCAACTCTAGACTCTAAATCAGGGGTCTTCAACATTTTCGAGGCCAAGTACCCCCAAACTGATGGCGAGGTGGAACGGGGACCCCCTAAATGTACAGTATGTATTGTTTGAAATTGTGTTTTATCAAACCTATAATCTCAAGTTTCGACCTGGGATTATTAAAGTATTTCTGATTCCTGGTTGATGGGACAGGTGTTGTGAATGAAACGGTGCCCAGCTTGAAAGAGCTCCTGTGTGTCGCTGAATGTGTGCATTGATGACTGATGGACATCTTCTGCGTTCTTGTGTTGATATCATGTTAATGTGTATTTAAAGACATTTCAATTAGTGGAAAAAATTGCAGGGGGAATACAAAATAATTATAAAATCAACCAAAACTTTTGCGACACCCATGCTGTACCTCCGTGAACCCCTTAGCGGTCGCAGACCCCCTGCTGAAGACCTCCACTCTAAAGCATCCTGCTTTCTCTGGACAAAAATTAGTAAGCAGTTTGAATATAATATATCACGTAAAAAAAAAAAAAAAAAAACTTTTCAAAGATTTTCTTCATTAAATAACTGTAAAAGATTCTCATAACAAAATAACAGTATTGATACCAGGAGGGTTTTTTTTTTTTAAACCCCATCTTTAGAAGAAACAAAAATTGAGGACCTATGTGAATCACAAAAAATATCCAATGGAAAATACTATTATTATTATTATTATTATTATAGCCAGTGGTGAGAGTGGTTTTAGAGTTCCTTTATCATTATTATTATTATCATCTTCATTTTAACTTAACTATAATGTCAGTGGTGAGACTTGATTTGAGGTTTGGTTTGAAACTGTCAATGTCTAGTCACTGTAGATGGTAGTTTTATCATAAAAAACTAATACCTGAAATCTATTTTTGACCATAGGTATTAAAAAAAAAAGTCTATAATAGTAAATGAGCAATTAAAATAAAGATCCACAAAACCTTTTTTTCTCTATATTTATTAAGAATTCTTAGGTTCTTATTTTGAGATAACTAACTTATAATTTGACTCTATACGGCCAAGTGTTACCCTCTATTAGACAAAAGCATAGATGCTTTTTAATCTTTATTGTCCACAAATATTGAACGCTCTATTTCAGAAAGTAAATCTAATTTGTTGTGTCAGAATTAATTGCTTTTCTTGCTTTCTTCTTTTTGGGGGCAATAAAGCCTAGAAAAAATTAACATGGCTGCTTTATTTATATTTTCAAAGGCAGCTCTGTCGAACATAAAAGTTAATAACTCCATGTCTACAACTCAACTTGTTTAGGAGGACAGAGAAACATTTTTTGCGCATTAAATGAATATAATAGCATTGTAAAATAGCCCATGCTGGTCACTAAGAGCCATTTAAACTGCATTTCTGTAGTGCTTAATTAAACGATGAAAAAAAAAACTTTAACTGCAGTTTAACTTGTATCAGACGAGTGCCTGGTAACACAGGGCATTTGTTGACACTTTGGCTTGATGAGCTGCCATTTTAACGCAGCGTCTGCTTATGAGATCTCCATAAAAGCTTCCTTTAATTCACCTTTGACAAAATGAGTTGGCAGTTTTTGCTGTTAATGATTTAAAGCATCTAAGGCATGTTTGCTCCAGCAGGCAGTCATTGTAAAGGTTGAAGTATCTTAGGGTATTCATGCTTTTTTTTGTTTTTTTATTAACAGATGCGAACGGAGTGTAACTGTTTGCTTAATCTGGTCGACTTTTAATAAAACTTCCTGCAGTTTAAAGTTTGATTTGTCACCTGTGCAGGATTTTCTTAAATTATATTGTTACAGTTGAATCATAAATGACTTAACTTACTTTTACTTAGCATCTTAAGCTTAGTATCAAATATAACTTTACTGAACTGGTGATTTTATATATATATATATATATATATATATATATATATATATATATATATATATATATATATATATATATATATATATATAGTTTAAAACAATTTTAGGAGACTATTGAAATCCCTGTTTTGAGAAAAGGCTTATTAAACAGATGCTGAAGAATAAAATAGCTTACAGTTAATAATGAAACAAGAACTTTGCATTTGAATTGCCTGAACATGCTAAAAGCCAGTTTTGGGTTTGGAATGTTTTCACTGGTTTGGAGGGTAACGCAAATGTTTAAGCCAAGCTTTAATTGTATTTTTTTTTTTTTTTGCACTACACTATAGCAATAACCTAAAACAGCAAATTCTCATCTACAGCTATTGAAAATCAAAGCTGCAGGCACAGCTGTGAATGTTTAAAGTTTCTCTAAATCATTTATAAAGCTCCTCACAGTGCTGGTGAACATTATTTCTAAATTTTGTTTATTACTAAACACTGATTGTACACTCTGTCCACTGGACAGATTTTTAGATAAGTTCTTGCCTCTAGGATAGATCAGATAGATGATTGTTGCCAGTTTAATACTTTTTTGTTAAAATCAGTTTGCTGTGATTTTAATGTCATCTTGTTGCACACAATTTAATTAAAAATATTTTATCATTTGTGCGCTTTTTACTTTAAAGTTCTTCAAAGATTTTTTTTTTATACATAACAGAAATTTGTGGAAAAAAAATTAGCATTATATAAAATCACAGCCCTGATATTATGGGCAGATGTTTATTCTTACAGAAACATCTGCTATCCTGCTGGTCTGAAGCACATAGCAGAAATTACAGAGGAAAGCCAACTTAGCTAAGAGTTATGTTGATGCACATTTTTGCACTTTTACATCATCTTTCTTATACAAAAAAACAAAAACAAAAAGCATTATGCTGGTCAGTAGTTGAATCCCGTATTTTAGCAGGTTCTAATTAGGGCATATTGAAAGGGATTTCTTTACTGTGATACGTACCTGCTGCTTCAAGGCCATTTCCATACTTTACCTGTGGACCTGAAGCATGCATTCCTCCCTTTGCTCCAGACCCATTCGGACCAGAAGGGGACCATGCTAGAACCGGCCGCTCATCCTGGACCAGCGTTGTGTGGAAGACAGATCCAGCAGCAGTTTCTGACAGCGCGACACTCGTAGCCTCGTTTTCATTTGCGGTTTTAAGAGCGTGAATCAGATTAAAGAGTTAATCTAAAGTTTTGAACTCTACAGGCAATCTCTCCACTCCTCTCCTTCTGCTCCTTTTTCCCATTCTGGCGCTGTTGCACTGTCTGGCGAGTGACGTCTGGCCCTAACACAGAGGCCCTTCTTCTTGAAAGCTCCACAGCAGGAGCTCTACATAAAAACACCACTCCTCCTTAAACTGCTGCAGATGCTGAACCAAACTCTTTGCACCATTGCACCGCTGGAGGCGGGGAGGAAATCGCCGCTGTCCTTCAGCAGGAGGCCTGTTGGACGGAGACGCCGGCGGGCTGAAAGCCAGACCTCCATGACAGCAGAGGTCACACAGCAACTCTAGACTTGCTGAAAGAGTATTAACAGCATGGCCAAATTCTCAATTTCAATTGAAAGCTCTTCACAATGTGTCGTTCAGTAACAGTTGGCCAAACATGAAAAACACAGAACCGAGAGGCTTTCCTCCACTGCTCACTTCCTTTCCTCTCTGCTTTGCTCTGCTGGGAGAAGCTCCTGCTGTCAAAGTGAAAGCCTCTCCAGTTTGATAAACCACTTCCAAGAACAGAACAGGTCACAAAAGCCGTCTTCCGAGGCACTCGTCTTTCCCACGAAAGGGCAAATTTATTAAAACAAGATGCATCAAGTGCTTGCTGCACGTTTTTCGTGTTTGTCTGACAGTTAGGCTCAATCGGCTTTGATGTTCTCCACTTCTGTCTCCAGAAATCCTGAGTTTACACCACATTTTTTTTCTCAAAAAAAACAAACAAAAACAGTACTCAAATCAAAGCATGAAAATCAATCAGTAAAAGTCTTTTTCAGGCAGCAGCAGGAAGAAGCCTCCTCTCCTTTTACGTTTGCACAAGTCCACAAATAGTGTAGGAAGGTTTCTCTGCCTCCAGATTGTATAAGCGGACATCCATCGTATACATGAAGAGCTTCATCTACATTTAACCCCATTTTATCAAATAGTACATGCTTTGCTGTAAAAGATAAGATTGGCGGCTTTTACAAATTACAAATCAAGGCTCCAATTAAGAACCGCCTTTAGGTGAAGATACCAATAAAATTATTCGGTGTGCGGGATGGAGAGAAAAACAAAGTTTGAAGAAACATGAATTATCTTGTAGATTTCCACAAATCTGTTGTTTAAGGCTCAGCATTTATTTTATATATATAAATAAAATCAACTACTTTTGGGGGTAAAAGTCTGCTTTTTCTATCCATCCCCTACAAACACACCTACTGGCGATGTTAGCAGTGTTCAGAGAAAATATGCATCCAGGTAAAGTCCAATAATATCACTACATTGTGAACCAGGAAGAAGTTTTTGATTAAAAACGTTATTTGAACAGGCTCATTGTCCCAGCATCTTAACCTTTAGACCACAGTAACTGGTTCGTATCAAAACCCAGAAGATTTTAAACGGTTCAGATTTCTTTTTTTTTCTCCAGAGAGAAGTTTTACTTCTCTCTTATCTAGCAGAGACGCCATATTGCCATGAGATTTTAGAGAGGGGAATAAATCTGTGCTGCAGATTTGAGCTATTTATAACTATTTAAACTGTATTTGCAGATTATGCCAGTCTACATCTTTAGTGAAAACAATTGCAGGTTTCTAAGCCTGATAAAATTTTTGCTGCATTAAACCTCCAATGGCTGCACCAGTCCTTCAAATCAGCTGATTGTGAGTCAGGTAAATGCTAAACTACAAGACCAAGAAAAGGACAACCTACCATGGTATTTTTTTTGCTTTTTGGATTCGCTTAATTTAAAAATCTGCAAAAATAAGAACTGAGGATTTATTGACCTCTTTCCAAACATCGCAGCATTTTGACGTCTCTGCTCAAAGTCTCATTACACAAAATTGGGGATATACATGACAACCATCCCTTTGGATAAAACTTTCAAGTTATAAACTTTTCTTTTTTCTTTTAGCATGAACTAAAATTAACAAGACTAGAAATTGAGTTTAGTCCAAGATAACCGAAACAGATGCACATATGAAAATCCATTTCTAAAGAGCAATTTGGAGAGGCTTTTATATTTTTCTAATCAAAAAATAAACATTTACACTGTATTTATTTAATTGCCTGAGTGTGAAAACTTTACTGAAAAAAAATGATTTAATCAGACCCAGAAAGAAAAAAAAAAAATCTTCCCTGGATTTTTTTTCGGTGATAAGGCAACATATTCATAAAGTATTTTGCTCTGAGTACCCTTAACGTCTAACAAGTAAAACATTAAGCGGCAGAATGTTATCTGTAGGAATGAAGTCCATCAGTTTACAATAATATAATAGACTTTATCTCAGTTTTATCCCTCTTAATAAACTTTTCACTGACTCTGCCCACATTATGTTAGAATTTCCTCACAATAGATCATTAAAAACAAAAAACAGAGACATATAATTTGCTTTTTTTTTTTTTTTTTTTAAGAGGCTCCTTTAATGATGATGATCACCAGGTAGTCTTCCTCAGATTTGGCAAAGGCTTTAGCAGAGGCATCCACAAACTGCTGGGAGAACTCACATGGAGGGAACGCATGCAGAACTCCACTGAGCTCCTTGTCGTTGCTGCCCCCAACGGGGAGGCCAATGATCCCCGCCGCCTCCTTCTGTTTAAGGTAGGACACCAGGTTCTTCAGCGGTCTCTCCGTGGAGCTGCTGACGTCCTCAGATTTCCCCTGCACGGCCAGGAGGACGGCGTACCCGCTGGACCCGGCGGCTTTGATGCGACGGGCGACCTCATCCAGCTTGGGCTGGTCCAGACGCAGGCGCTGGCTTATCTTGAGCTGGGATACCTTCCCGCCGCTGGAGCCCTCCACCAGCAGGCTGGTGGTCATCCTCATGTCTCCATCCAGCAGGTGCAGGGAGGCTGGGAAGCTGCTGTTTTTGAGCAGGAGGACCCCCTCCCAGGCCTGACTCAGCTTCAGCTCGTCTGAGTCAGGATGCTGCTCACGCTTGGAGGGGGAAAGGTTTGAGGCTGGATTGTCTGAGTGCTGCTCTTTCTTTCCTGGGCTCTTAGATGTGTCTCCAGCTTTACGTTTGCCTTCTCTCTCTGTGATGGAACCCGGCTGAGACGGGCTACGAGTTCTTTTCCTTTTCTCCCCAACGCCAGCGTTGTGGTTGCTCTGCCGCTCTTTGGCTGGGGTGGCTTTTCCAGAGCGTGGCATACGTTCTGAGTCGCTGAAACGTCCCCCATCTCGGCTGCTACCCCCTGGGCTGCGCTCTAGTGAGGTGGCTCGTCGGCGCAGTCCCAGGTCGCCATTGTCAGGTGAACGCTCAGCCCTCCAGCTGTCATCTAAATGTCTTCTTTTGAGACCGAGCTCTCTGCCCTGAAACTCCCGCTCCACCGCCCAGCCGTCCCTGGAGCGCCTCTCCAGGTCTAAGGAGCTGAAGGCCGGTCCTCTCATCCTGTCATGGGCATTCAGACCAACCCACTCGGCAGATGAATAGGGATCCCGCTCCCTGAAGCGACCAGGAATTGGGGGGGAGCGGTCTCTGGGCAGGCGGTGAGAAAAAGGTTCAGGGGCATAGTCAAAGTGAGGCAGAGGTAAAGGGAGATGCATCATCTGCTGCTGGGGGTAGCGAGTTTCTGTCTCTGCAAAGTCCACTCTTAGTCTCCTGTCAGAGCCGCCGATTGGGAAGCCTCTCATGTGGGTCCATGCAGCGTGGGCGGCATCTAGGCTTTCATACTGGATGTACGCCCATGAATCCCCTTTCATGTAGTCTATAGTCCTGATTTTGCCAAAGCGGTCAAACTCTTTGGCGAGCGCATCAATCGGAACCCAAGGACCTAGACCCCCCACCCATAGTCTAGTTGTGGGTGTAGGTTTGCCATATCCAATCTTGATTATGCTATGACCCACCATCTTCCCCGCCATGGCTACTTTAGCCCGATGAGCCATGTCCAGGTTCTCAAATTTAATGAATCCGTAGGTGCTGCTCTGGCCCCTGGCAGCACGCTTTATGTCCACCTCTGTGATCAGTCCAAATCTCTCAAATGCTCTTCTGATGGTGCTTTCAGTCACAGAGGCTTCCAGGTTGCCCAGAAACAACGTCCTGTTGGCCCTCTGCTCATCCTCAGGGCTGATTAGTTCCTCATCACGGAAAACAGGACATTCAGGAATGAAGGGGCCCCTGCTCCTGCCTTCATACAGGGGGAAATCTCGGTCCCTTTCCAGGTCCCTGAGGTGAGGAGGTAGTGGAGGGGGAGGAGGAGCAGTGAGGCGACCCAGGGCGAGCTGCTGTAACCGATAGTCTCTGTAGCCCGGGCCCGGGGGAGACTGGGCTCTGTGGGAGTGGAGGGGTCTGTGTCCAGAGGGAAAACTCTCTTTACTAACAGGCGACCGGCTCTTCCGCTTATTCAAATACACGGTCTCTATCTTCAGAGGCCGGTCGTACAGCACCAGTTTTCCCCGGGCGTGTTTAGCCGCCCGGGCGTCTTCGGCTCTCCTAAAGTTGACAAACGCCACCCTTTCGTGGTTTTCACGGCATATTTTCACACTCACATCCCCGAACTTCTTAAACTCGTGAAACAAGCCGTCCTCTATTTCCTCGTCGTTGAGCTCGGATCCCAGCTCGCTGATTTTCAGAGTCTTGTACTCACTTCCTGGGACCGACGGAGGCCGCGAGTTGCTCCGCGAGGAGGACCTGGACGTTTCTGCGGGTATGTCGGCGCTACCGTGCGACTTGTGGGCGGAGGAAGCTCCGTAGTCGTAGCTGCTGCCGGTCCGACTGGATGATCCATGTCCGTCTGAGTCCCTCACGTCTCGTTTGTCGCTGGGTAAAGCTCTCCTGGAGGAAGCGGAGCCGTTGCTGGTAGAGAGAGCTGTGGTCTTCTTGCTGCTCGGGTAGCTTCCTCCTCGGTCTCTGCCATTGTCAGGCCCGCGGGGGCGTTTTTTCACCGGGGAGCGCTCCTTCCCTTTCATTGTAGGATGCAAACAGAAGCAGCGCCAACACTGAGATGTGCCCAATTATACTTTCTTCACTGATAGTTTCACTAAAGTGGTGGACTTAGCAGCGGTTATCAGGCGGACAACGTCATCGCCATGTTGGATAAACTACGCTGGCGTCATATAAGTCCCGCCTCCTTTGTTTGAAAGAAGCTGATTGGTTCAGTAGCTTGTCAATCATATTACCAAGGGCGCTAGTTCCCCAATCATGAATCAGGGTGCGGCGGCAGAACCATAGAAATACAAATATAGATGCGTTTTTTTGTTTTGTTTTTTTTTTTTTTTACGTAATACGGAAAAGGATTAGGGCCACTGGAAAAAAAAAAAAAAAAGTAAACTGATTTTTAAATTTTATTTCAGTTTAACATGGGAAAAAAGTCAGAATTCTGACTTTAATCTCAGAATTCTGAGAAAAAAGTCAGAATTCTGAGATTAAAGTCAGAATTCTGACTTTTTTCTCAGAATTCTGACTTTAATCTCAGAATTCTGACTTTTTTCTCAGAATTCTGACTTTTTTTATTGTCAGAATTAAGGCAGAATTCTGAGAAAAAAGTCAGAATTCTGAGATTAAAGTCAGAATTCTGAGAAAAAAGTCAGAATTCTGAGAAAAAAGTCAGAATTCTGAGATTAAAGTCAGAATTCTGACTTTTTTTATTGTCAGAATTAAGGCAGAATTCTGAGAAAAAAGTCAGAATTCTGAGAAAAAAGTCAGAATTCTGAGATTAAAGTCAGAATTCTGACTTTTTTCTCAGAATTCTGACTTTTTTTTATTGTCAGAATTAAGGCAGAATTCTGAGAAAAAAGTCAGAATTCTGAGAAAAAAGTCAGAATTCTGAGATTAAAGTCAGAATTCTGAGAAAAAAGTCAGAATTCTGAGATTAAAGTCAGAATTCTGAGAAAAAAGTCAGAATTCTGACTTTAATCTCAGAATTCTGAGAAAAAAGTCAGAATTCTGAGATTAAAGTCAGAATTCTGAGAAAAAAGTCATAATTCTGACTTTTTTCCCATACTATACTGAAATAATAATAAAAAAATCTGTTAACTTTTTTTTTTTTTTCCAGTGGCCCTAATCCTCTTCCGTACTTACAAACCTGTTTTTCAGAAAAAAAAGAAACATTCAGGTTTTTGTTGTTGTTTTTTTGTTTGCTTTTTTGTTTGTTTGTTGTTGTTTTTTTCAGAAAAATCCGAGAGGGACATATTTAAAGTTTGATGATTGGAAGAAAATGTAACATCTGCGAAATAAAATGTGGAAATTTGTGAGAATTGTAAATAAACAAAACCTGAAAAAAACTGATATTCTGATTAGATATGCTTATTAAGTGAAGTTATTGTTAAACTGTTATGAATAATATAATGACGATTATTATTATTGTGTAGTTGATATTTTTGTTTGTGGAGAAATATTTACTTATGGTGGGTTTGAAATCACTTTATCATTTTTCTTTACATTATCATTTATTTCAGCAATTTCTTCCATTATATATTTTTTTCTTTTTCACAACCTCCCCTTTTTTCTATTCCTTTACATGTATAAAATAGCTGTGCATACTGACACCTTTTAATAATATTTTTTCTTTCTTTTAAGTTATATACCTTGATGACACAACAATGGCCAAAAACTAATTCAGATTTTTTTTTGTCTATTGATATTCATAACCAGGTGTCGTTACAATAACAACACCAATAATAATAATAATAATAATAATAATAATAATAATTATTATTATTATTATTATTATTATTATTATTATTATTATTATTATTATTATTATTATTATTATTATTATTATTATTATTATTATTATTATATTGATTTAATTATATCAATGATGATATGTTATCAGTAGTGAACAAGTATTAACAAGGAGTGACCGTGAAAACTTAAGTGAAAGTAGTGATTTGTTGTATTTTTATTTTTTTTACCATAGTGAGCACAGTGCCTCTCACAAGATGGCGGGAGCGTTAACGACCTATCCAGTTCTTGGCTTCTATTCTTCTGGTTCTATGTGTTTGGCTGGGTCAGAGTACAGTAGAGTTGGAAGTAGTTATTTTATATAGTGTGGTTATATGGATAGGTTGAAGAGTTTTAGGGCTCTAGATAACAGTATCTTAGTTCCACAGTGCATTATGTGGCTCTAGTTTTTAGATCTGCTGTAAACAGATATAGTTGATATGCAGGTTTTAGAAGGCATACAAAACAAAACATGACTTGGATGGGCATTTGTTTCTACTGGATGATTACATAACTTCCATTGTGAGGGTTCTGAGCAGTACACCAATGAAAACAGGTTAAACGTGTCTCTGGAGAGGGAAGATACAATAATATCCAACCAATGTCTGATCAAGCAGCTGCTCTGTTTATTACAATCATGGCTACACTGCAAAACGACCTAGAAATAAGTAAAATTGTCTTTAAAGTGTGTTTAGCCTTACTTTCTATTCTAATCTCAAATGTTTGGGAAACCCTGCCTTTCAGATTCTACATGAACATGTAGTACCATAAAATCACCACATGAGGGCATGCTTGTGAATTTTGAAACAGCTGATACTAATGGAACAAAGCACCACAACAAATTAATATATGATTAAAATATGCTTAATGTTTTCTTAAGGCTGTGTAAAATTGATTTTAATAAAAACTCTTAATTTGGGATTATATTAGATAACTTTAAAGATAACGCATCTGTTACTATTTTTAATGGTTTTTAGCATTGACAAAGTATACCATTATCTTCTTTATAAATGTTTTATCCACATTTTTTGGTTTTCTATCCTTGCACACTTTTAAACATAGATGACAACTTTATTAGATCCACAAGGCTTTCATGTTTAAAAAAATATTTAACCACAATCTACTAGTAAAAGATGTCCTTTACTTATTAACATCTTACTATTTCTTCATAAGGGTTCTTGAAAATGTATTTATGCCCCATTTGATTTCTCAGATTTTACAATGTGATACAATACCATAACACAGCATATAATTGTAATGTAGAAGGACGAAATCTGAAAACTGTGATGTCATTGTTTTATTCCTCCTGAGTTAACTTCCTCTCCTGAGTTAAACATTCTTTTTTTCTACACTCATAGCTGCAGGTCTTTTTGGAGCAAACCTGCAGAGGTGCTATGATGATAGTGTGAATATGTGGCTGGGAGGCTGATTAGAGGGAATGGGAAAATATATAGAGCTTAATATAGGTAACCAAGGTGGAAAACATGTTTTTCAAGGTTTACACTCATTACTTGTTTTTGGATTGGTGATTTTAATCTGGTGGATGGAAAATAAGCTTGTCATATCTTAAGTATGCAATGTCATATATTGTAGGTTCAGTAATATGATTGCTAAAATTCTGAGTTATATCCTGCTGAACATACTATGTAGGGCACTCCCACGCAAAGGATTACAGACGTGCAGAAGCAACGGGGGCAGACGGGTTTTCCTTTGCTGCCAATTCAGAGAAAAATCTCTCCATTTTATTCATGTTTCAGAACACCATGCATGCATATTTCCTCATACAGGTCAGCATCGTCACTTTCCGTGCTTATTACTTTGGCTTAATCCCCATCGCTGTTGACTGTGTGACCATGTAATATGTTAGGGCGAAGTTATACATGTGTTCACTTTACTGACTGACATTTTAAAAGGGCTTAAATTGTCATTGAAAATTAGGATAGGAACTTTGTCCTGCTGTTGGGCAGGCCTCCCTCTCAGGATGACCATCTGGTGAACAGAAGCATGTCCCAACAACAGCAATCTGCTTTACCCAGTATTAAAATGATCTGTGTCAAAGAGATAGCATGAGAGGATGAATATCTTCCCTCTTTAAACCACAGAGTGATACTGAGGTCATTTGTTGTTTAATGCAAACAGCTAAACATTCAACATTCAAGCAGCCAAAACCAGCTAGATTATGTAGAATGATTCGTTCTCTGGTAGAACGGTTCCTATCTTTTCAAGCAGAGCCTTCCATTATAAAAGTTTAAGTTTATATCAGCTCCTTCTGGCTGAGGAACTCCTTTTCCAAATGACAGTTGATGCAAAAAATTGTAAAGAAAAGAAAAAAAAAACTGAAATGATTGTCTTTCTTCACTGATCTTTTTATTTATTTGGCATGAGCACATTTACTGCTATGTTTCAACATCATATTATATTTGCAATAAATAATAAAGGTTTCTAGAAACTGATTGCAGATCAAAATAAACCAGACCTCATCCAGGGGTGTGTAATGAGAGAGTGGGGTTTAATGATTGTCAGCACCGTATCCATGTTTTTTTTACCACTTTTAGGCTATAGAGAGCTCACTGTGGTCCAGTGTGGAGGAAGATGATTCAGAGATGACTGGCAGTGACCCTTTCACCTTACTATTCGCTATCTCTTTAATGAACTCATTAGAGTTCATTAGAGACCAAACTAAGATGGAGTTGCTGAAAAAAGATTGCAACAGGTTATTGAAGTTATTTCCACACTTAGCAGCAAACATGTTCATCTTAAGGCCAGAGCAAACTAAGAAGAAGTTGTTTTATTTTGTTCAGTGTGAAGCAGCCAATCAGAGGTCAGTTTCTTTATAGAACCCGTCCTAAGTTTGATGGATGAAGCTGACAGTTTTATTCATTTTCTACCATGAAATAAGTCAACAGAAAAAGTGGAATAATGAAAGATACATTTTAAAACATTAAAATGAATTATCTAATGACATAACTTCTAAGGCACTTTAATCATTTAAATTCAAATGAAGGACTGTTGTTTTGCAGCAAAAAGGTTCTGGGTTCAATTCCCAGCCCGGGGTCTTTCTGCATGGAGTTTGCATGGTCCTCCCATGCATGTGTGGGTTCTCTCCGGGTACTCCGCTTCCTCCCACAGTTCATAAACATCACTGTTAGGTTAATTGGCTTCTCTAAATTCTCCTTATGTCTGATTGTGTGTTTTTATGGTTGTGTTTCTCTGTGTTGCCCTGCGATGGACTGGTGACCGGACCAGTATGTACTCCTCCTATCGCCTACAGACTGTCGAGGATAGGGACCAGCCCCAACACGACACTAACAGGATTATGCTGCGTTCACACCGGGGGCAGCTGGCGCGACAGAAGCAGCGAGTTTACATGCAAAGTCAATGGTTGACGCGCGTCAAGGC